CAGAATAATTCCAAGTCAACGTGTAATACTCCACCCTGAGAAGGGGAAGCCTGACTCCTCACTCCTGAAGTGCGGGCTGTGCACAGAGACCTCCTCCTGCAGAAAGCTGTGTGGAAGAGAGAGGAGGAACTTCACAGTACAGGAGCCTGACAAGCCGCCGGGTGGCCAAGGTTAACGTCAACAGTGGTCATTCGAGGTGATGGCACACATCGCTGATGTGATGCGATGAGAATGACACTTTACCTCTCTGGTCTTCCTCTCCAAAACCCACATCCTCAGTGTGATCGGGAACACCACATCAAACAAATCCCACTGAAGGACACTCTACAAAATACCTGAACAGAAGTCCTCAAAACTGTCATAGTCAAGAGGAGCCTAAGGAGATGGAATGACTCACTGTCCTGGACTATCCTGGATGGGATCCTAGCACTGAAGAAAGATGTCAGATAAAGACTAAGGAAATCTGAATAGAGTACGGACTTAAGTTAATAATACTGCACCAATGTGGGTTCATTAATTCTAACAAACCGACCATGCTAATACAGGATGTTAACAACAGGGGAGACTAAGTGTAGGGTCTATGGGAATTTTTTGTACTATCTTTGCAATTTTTCTGTAAATGTAAATCTGGTCTAAAAAAAGTTTATTCAAAAAAGCCTCATGCTACAAAAGGGAACAACTCATTCCATAAACGGAAATAACTCATCAGAAAAAAAAGTCTAGATAACAAAGAAACAACACTTTTAAAGTGCTGAAACCCAGAATTCCATATCAATGTCCTTGAAAAATGATGGCAAAAAAAGACACTTTCAGATAAGTGAATGATGAGAGAATTCATCACCAGCAGATCTGCACTGCAAGAAATGATTAAAAAAAAAATCTGAATTGAAAGGGAAATGACACCAGATGGAACTTGGAACTATAGAAAGAAATAAAGAACACCAGAAATGCTAATCTGTGGGTAAATACAAAAGCCTATCACCTTTTCCTTCATCGGTTTTGCTGTTCCCATTACCTTCTCCAACAAAGGGTCTCTTCTCATGCCTCTTATAAAGGATCCATGGACTTCGAGTCTGACAGTGGGTCTTAATAGGGGCAGAAGAGCCCTCCTAGGCAGTCTGCCTACAAACTCTGGGGAAGGATTTCACAGTGCTGCAAACATGGAGGGAGCCCCTGGCATTTAGCAGGCATGGGCCTGGGGGCTAAGTATTCCGTAACACAGAGGACAGTCCTGTAGAGCAAAGAATGATCCTGCCCCAATATCCCTCACACCCTCCCCCTTGAAAACCCTCAACTCAAGAACCTCGGGAGGCCTCATGGAGCCTCCTCGGGCCTCTCACACACACAGCCAGGCTGTATCATCTCCCTCAGCAGCTGTGCTCCTGGGACGAGCTCTGAGCCTGCAACTGTGAGTCCAGGTCATCAAAGTAAGAACAGCTATCAAGTAAAGAATGTCTTCCGTCCTGTAACCGATGGAACTGAGTTCTAAGCCAGTATTCTAAACCCATGCAGACCCTTTACATGACTTTAGCGTCCTCCTCTTCAGCCACTGGAGAGAAGGGATAAGCACAAGCAAGACAGAAAGGTAAATCGATTGCTGAGTCCAAGCAACCTGCTCAGGGCACTGAGCCTGCAACGGCTGAGCGGGACAGCAAGGCCGGGAGGCGGCCTGCCCCAAGTGTCCGGCACAGGGAGGGCTCCCCACTTCCACTTAGGGTTCAGAGAAGGAAAGGAAACATTTAAGCACACGGAGAAGTTTTAAATCAGAATCATCAGCAGTCATTTTTTTTTAAAAGCTATTATTTAAAAAAAGCTACTGCTTACTTGTTTCAGTTTTAGCCTTTTCTTGATAATCATGAATTTCTGAAAAAGTGTATGGGTCATATGGAAGATACAGAAGAGAGATTTACAAACTCAGGCAAAAAGATACATACAATTAAAACTCTATTTCCTGCCATGGCAGTACATTTAAACTGCAGGCTCAACCTTTGCCGAGGTAATTAAATCCATATTTAATCAGAACCTAAAAACTTTAAACAGTTATAACAATAGTATGACTATTATATTATTCATTTTCTTGATGGGCTTTTAGAATGAAATAACAGGTTTGCAATAAGTGGCCCAAAGTATGGATATTTAAAGATATTTTGCAATGTGACGCATCTTTGTTTTCATAGTGGGACCTTTTAATATTCACAAAGTGAATATTCTGTATTTTACAGAAGTGTGATATTTTTCTTTTGATTGCTAAATAATAAATACAGAGCTATATGTTTTTTTAAAAAAGAGAATACAGTGGAAAAACGGTGAAGTTATTGAACTAATTCTATTCAACCAGCTAAAGGAATAGTAAGAAACATCTGACACTGCTAACTGACATAAAGATAGAAAAGCAACATTATTATTTGGTTCCATGTTTATCTAAATTACCTCATTGTCCTATTAAGAATGAAAAGGATGTCCACAGACATACAAATAAAACTACAGAAGAGATCTCCAACTTGACAATGATCTGACACAATTTATGACTGTTAAACAGTAAAGTCTTTATCAATTTTTAAAAACCAGAAAAATAAATCCTTAACTTTCAGACAAATGTGCATTATTTTAAACTATGCAAGAGCCCATAACTTCCCCTTTATACTACCACATATCCGCTGACTACATTACAAAGAATGTATTCTGCTAACTAGAGGTAACAAATAAAACCACAAATTGAGCGGTCTTTCCTGTCAATGATGTCACGGACATTGCGCCGGGAAAACATGTCCTTCAGTCACCAGATGAAGGGCATTCATTAGAACAAACAGGAGCAGGCTCTTGAAGCATTGTTGACAAAGCAGAAAATAAAATACCTACAACTAACAATGTGGAATTTAAAAATTAGTTATAAAATATATCCTTAAATGCAAAGAAAGCTTAACAAAGCTAAAGTGTCTGCACAAAATCATTTCCATGCAGCACATACTTATTTTGTTCAAGGTATTCTGCTCTATGACTACCGCAGAGAATAGAAAGATGAGGCACAAATTTTAACTTCCAGAAGTGTGCAGTCTTCTCTCTGCTGCCAGTTAAGCATGCAAATAATGACAACATAAAAGCAAAAGGGACAGTACTGTCAAAGAGGTACAAAAAGGCACTGTGAAGACTGCAGGGGCCTTGAGTTCATTTTCCCTCATGTTTTCAGTAGGAAGAAATCAGTAAGGAATGATTAGGTCCAAAATTTCAAAAAGTTTTTTCTCCCCTCTAACACAACTGAGGAGAGCAGACTGGCACCCGCTCTGAGACCTAAGCAGCAAAACCACTGTCTGGAATCCAGTGTTCCCACACTGAGGTTCTGCAAAATCATACTGCCCCTTGATTTCCTTCTGGTTTCCCTGAAGAAATAAAAAGTAATCTCTGGATACTGAAAATCTTTCTATTTTATTCTTTGTGCTTTTCTTTAGTTTCGGTCTGTCTACAATGAGCATGTGTTACTTCTGCAATTTGGGAAGCATATTTGAGTTCTAAAAGGCTTAATTTGAAGGGAAGAAAAAAAAAGTCACAGATCAATAAAATATAAATCCGTCTATATTATTCCATCAAAATACAAGGGTATCAATAACCCTCCATTAGGGTGAGCAGATCTTTGCAAGATAACTGTCTAAAATTGATTATTGAAATATTAACTATATGATTACAAAGTTAATTCATTAAAGATAAATTTCATTAATCTTAAAATTTTTATGAATGCAGAATTAAACTTTATCCAGGTTTCAACTTAAGAAACAGACTGATGAACTGAAAGAGTATCAAAAACCCTGTATCTAAGCCTCTCTCCTCCTGGCCCCTACCTGCCGCAGTCTCCCAGTCTGCTAAGGTGGGAGAGCATCCACCCCATACATAGTTATGGTGAGGACTGTCTAAGAAAATACATAAAAAAGGGGCCCCTGCACATCACATGTCACCAGGGAAACACAAGTTAAAACAACCTATTACAATGGCCACAATACAAAAGCTGACACCACCAAATGCTGGTGAGGATGTGGAGCAACAGGAACTCTCGCTCACTGCTGGTGGGAGTGCAGAATGGTACAGCCACTCTGGAAGACAGTTTGACAGTTTCTTACAAAATTAAACATCCTCTTACCATACAACTCGGCAAACATGCTCCTTGGTATTTACCCAAAAGAGTCAAAAACGTATGTCCACACAAAACCTGCACGTGGATGTTTATAGCAGCTTTATTCATAACTGCCAAAACCTGGAAGCAAGCAAGGTGTCCTTCAGTAGACGATGGGATAAATAAACTGGTACATTCAGACAATCAGCACTCAAAAGAAATGAGCCATCAGTCATGGAAAAGACAGGGAGGAAACCTAAATGTATACTACTAAGTGAAAAAGCCAGCCTGAAAAAAGCCCAGGTTCTGCTGGGAACCTAAAATTGGTCTTAAGAAGTCTATTAAAAACCAAAAATGCTCACAGCCCAGGGCCTGCCGTATATACAATAAGTGCTCAACAAACTCTAACTATTGTTATTAAAAGTTACATTGGAAATATCCTAAATGCTTCCACAAGCAATGAAGAAATATTACTACTCTTATAATAATAATTACTAAGTCAGTTTCAACATCTACCCTGACAAGATGAAAAGCACCGCTCTCAAGCAGGCAGTCCCTAAGAACCCACGACACACCTTGGATGAGTGACTCTAAATCTATATTATTTTTCAAAGTTATCAAGTGAAATACAGAAATGTAAAATGAGTAAGGATTCAATCACAGCCAGTTAATTAGTTCAAGTTTTTCAGGCTCTTATGGTCATTACTCAAAAAAAAAATAAAAAAGCACAACGAAAGGGAAAAATATATGAGACTCAACAAACAGTAATACCAAAAACAAATATAATCATAGAATAATGTTGGAAATGATACGGTTTCAGCAGAGGTAGAATGCCTACCTATAAAGCAATGATTTCTAGGAGGAAAAACAAAATGTAGCATCTCCTTTTCCGGTTTACCTGGATGAGTCATGGTGACTGGCTCCTCTTTGGATTTATTATTGTAGATGACTACAGCCACCGCATTGTGGAAAGCGGCCCGCGATATTTTCTCTTTAAACGTGCAGTTTCCCCTCTGCAGCAAGGCAATCCACTGTTTGATGTTGGGAGGGACAAAGAACCGTGTTTGAGGATCACAGCCCAGATGATCAGCAACTAAACAGATGAAAAGGGGGGTAAAAAACACAGACATTAGTTTTTTCTCAAGTAAAGATAAAAAAATCAATCAAGCCTTCATCAAAGCGCTCAACTGCTCTCTGCATACTACACAGCTCTCAAGCACTTCCTGCTGCTCGCTACCAGCAGAGCGATAAAATACATCCACAGAGGACAGTGCAGTGACTCTGAATCCATATCTGCACAAGGAGAGAGATGCTCCATTAAAATGTTACCTGCAATGCAAACTGAAAGAGTGAAAAACTGTCTGACTTTATAGATTTACAAAAATATCAAAGAGTGATAAAATCCAGTGTAGGTTGGTGGGGACGAGGAAGAGAAGGCAAGCATGGAGAACTGCCCAGAAACCCAAGTGACTGACGTCCCTGACTTCTGCTCACTCATTTGCACTTACTCATCTCTTGATCCCCACCTCCCACCATTGCCACAAGGAGACTGACTCTGCTTGGGGTAAACAAGGAAGGCAAACTCATCTTTGGTTCAGTTGTCAAGTGGTATTGTTGAAATTCAGATATGACTGAACAAATTTCTAAGAGTCTAAGGAAATTAGAGAAGTCCAGATCGCTGTCTGGAAGCTTAAATTAGCCAGGAATAACATGAACCTAGAATCAACAGATTACTCCTCTAATTCATATTTACTGACACATATTGCTCTACAATTCTACTTTAGGATACATATTTAACTATATCCACTTGTGTTACCAGACACACAAAGACACCAAAACTATCCCTTGGGACAACAAATTACATGGTCACCATCCTATATTTGGAGGGACAGTTTGTTTCAAGTACACTTAAATTTGTCAGGGCAAGCGCCTCGATTTTTGATTCTGCAAATTTGGTAACCGTAGCTCCGGCACTCAGCAAGTCATAGGAAGCCGCCCCTGGCTGCTCTTTCCACTCCCCATCCTCACAATTGTAACAAGTTAAAATGAAAAGGGAAGGGCGGTTCAGAAGGGGGACGAAAGTCAAAATGTTATTCTGAAGACGGTGGGCACGTGGTGCCAGAGGACGGTGGGCCCGAGCCTCCTGGAGCCCGTCACTGCCAGCACTTCCAGGGCTAGCCGGAGGGAGGAAGAGGAACACTCCACAAAAGGGTGTTACTAGATGCAAATTAACAACAAAAATATTAAATAAACACTAATCAATAATAAAGTATATGAAAAGATAACACCAGTGGGGCAATGGTTGCTTTTTACACCCCTGGAAGCACACTGCTTGGCAAAAGAAATGAAACATTTAGACTACTTAAACTATAAAACACAGAGGTGCCCCTAACTGCAGAGAAATGTTACATCTATCTTTCCCACTTCAATAATACCTTTCCCCCAATTCTCTTACTATCGTGGTGATGGATGGATGGCAATGAAAGCGTACTTGCTACCAGAGGTCTGCTAATACATCGCAAGTGGGGGATAAACGATTTCACAATTTGTCATGATTGTCGACAACTCTGACTCATTCTTTTCCTTAAACAGTTTCTTCACTCTGAAACTTTAGTCCCTTCTCAGTCGAATTAAATAGAAAAAAAGCCTATGTCATGATTCTAGCAGTCAACTATTGACAGACACGGCATAACGAAACTTTGAAATCCTGAAACAGACTGTTTACTTTCAATAGTTTCTGTTTCACAGATAATTATGCTGTTTGAAAACATAAACATTTAGGCAATGTGATATGATAACCTCACTGCCTTGGGAAAACTTTCAAGAATATATAGAGATCTGTACACTTGTCTTCTGTGAAACACTCACTCATTTTCCTGTGACTTATCCTGTCCCCCCATGATTCCTTAAACGTTCATGGTATAGTAAAGACAAAACAACACAGTTAACGGAATCAGCAAGACCTGGAATTTAAACTCTAGACCATCCGAGCAACCGTCATTTTTCTGATCTTCAATTTTTTCACTAATTTATAAAGACTGAAATACAGTTCTTACCTAACCAGGGCTATAAACGTTAAAAAGTCTATAATATTCCTCTACCCTTGGAGAGCATGAAAAATGAACTCTCCTGTCCTTAGTTTTCTCAGTGTCGTCCTACCTTGTCCGAGTGATCCAGTTTGGTGCCATGGGGACTTCTGCACTCATGTGTGTGAAATCTACCCCAGCCCAGCAGCACACACCCGCCCCACATCCCTGGCTCCTAACAGCTACCACTCCCAAGTTTCATTCTCTCTTTGTTGCTGTGACAGTATCACTGTCCACTTAGAAGAACAACAGTTCACTAACAGTCATAATGTCTGAGACTGAAAAGACACACCATGGGGTGCAACCACAAAGCAAAATCTATCAAACACACTGAAAGCTAACTTTAAAATTCTCCTAAAGGAATCCCCACCCACTAAGAACAGATTCTGAGAGCAACTGCATCATCAAAGCAAATTCCAACAACAGACTGGCATGAGCAAAAGAATGTTCCTGTTCCCCTCAACTGACCCAAATCATCATTCACAGGTCTCTGAAAACATGTGTATCAGTAAGAACATTATACACAATAAAAGAAATTCAAGTTCCTGCTCAAGGAGGTAGTTTTCATTTTTCAGAAAAAGAAAGTAAGGGGTTTTCATAACCAATACCGTATTATGCTGTTCTATCTATCTATTCTTTCCCATAATTAAGAAAAACTTGAACAATGAAAATAATGTTAACAGCTCTAAAACAACTTCCCAAGAGGACTGATAACTGTGATTTAGTGGTACTATTTCAAAATTTAATACCAGTTGCTTATACTTGAAGCAATTTATTCAGTGAAGACAGTAGTATGGCATAAAAGATCTGTGTAATTATGAACCACTAAAATTTTTTTCATTAAAAATCACAATGAAAATGTGAAATTATAGGTGATATAAAATATTAAAGTATTTTACAATTTTATTTGTCAATCACACCTCAGTAATTCTGAAAACATTGTATATTACAGAAAAACTTAACTTCAATTTCTTTCTATATGGCCTTTCTTGATGAGTCCAGAAATAGTAACGAGACTTTTATTTACTCCTTGACAAGAACCAAACAATTCTGTACAGGAACAATTATGGAATCCTCATCTGAATGAATATTAACTTACATGCCCAGCAACATACTGAATACCAGAGAAATACAATGGAACCAAAAACGTTGGTCTTGAATCTTCAAGAACCTCTACATGTATCAATGGGACATGCCTAGCACAGAAATTAAATAGCAACAAGGTAGTTTAAAGTGCCAATATGAAGAGTGCTTAGAATTTACAAAAGGAAGGAGAAGGGTATATAGCTCAAGTGGTAAAAGCACATGCTTAGTATGCACAAGGTCCTGGGTTCAATCCCCAGTACCTCCTCTAAAAGTAAATAAATAAGCCTAATTACCACTCCCCCCCAAAAAACTTAAAAAGATAAATTAAAAATTAAAAAGAGGATACTACAGTTTAAGAGAAATTTAGGAAAGGAAAAGAGCAACATAATGGTAAAGATTTAAGGAAGTTGGCAGTTAAAGCCCTTGAAAACTGCTCAGGCAGAAAGGAGGGGGTGCAGAAGTGACTAGCATAAGAAAACAGAACAAAGATAAAGCACTTCTCTCAAATTCTTGTGAAAATCAAATAAAATGATACATGATTGAAACTAAAACACTATACAAATTCAAAATAAGCAAGCTCTTAAAAGAAGATCCCACCTGTAACGGGAAAAGAGGAAGAATACTCTGGCACAAAGGAAAGGCAAATGTTTAAAGGGTTCTGTAAGTAAGTGAGTAAATAAAACCTCCCCTCCTCACCCCAGAGCAGCCTGAAGCTCTTCATTTTGTTATTTTTTATTAAAAAAAATTTTTTAATTGAAGTAGTCAGTTTACAATGTTAATTTCTGGTGTATGGCATAATGCTTCAGTCATACATATATTTCTTTTCATATTCTTTTCCATTATAGGTGACTACAAGATACTCAATACAGTTCCCTGTGCTATACAGTAGAAACTTGTCATTTACCTATTTCATATATATAGTAAGTATCTGCAAATCTCGAACTCCCAATTTATCCCTTCCCACCCTACCCTGGTAACCATAAGTTTGTTTTCTATGTCTGTTGAGTCTCTATTCTGTAAACAGGTTTATTTGTGTCCTTTTTTTGGTTAAGATTCCACATACAAGTGATATCATATGGTATTCTTTCTTTCTCCTGGCTTACTTCACTTAGAATGATGATCTCCAGGCCCATCCATGCTGCAGCAAATGGCATTATTTTAACATTTTTAATGGCTGAGTAGTATTCCATTGTATAAATACACCATAACTTCTTTATCCAGTCAGTTGATGGACATTAGGCTGTTTCCATGACTTGGCTATTGTAAACAGTGTGAAGCTCTCTACTCTGATCCATTTCACTTAATAAGACCCCATTTCTTAAAAATGCCAACATCCCATCTAGTAAGCAGTGATCCCCATATGTTGTGGTGTGGGTAATGTTTCCTTCCATGCCCTGAGCCACGTGGGGCTGGGGCACTGACGGAAGGTCAGTGGCTTCTCTAGGCACACAGTGTAGTTGCCCTAGTGTGACTCTTGCTCCCAGAGGCTGTGTATCTCGCTTCCTCCACTTGAAATGCCAGTCCTACCACTCCTTTGCTGACTACCTCCTAAGCCTCAGAGTTATGCTAAACTATCTTTTCTGGAACGCCTTCCCAGTCTCCTAAGGCTGAGTTGGGTACTTTACTCGTGTTTCCATGGCACCTTGAGATTACATCTATTTTAGCATTTATCATACTATATGTGTAACTGGTTCTTTGCTCTGAGTCTCTGCTAGGGCGTGAGACCTAGCATGTCCTCCAACATCTCTGACATACAGTAAGTGCTTAATTTACCTGCTGAAGGGAGTAAGAGGGTGACAGTGGGAGATTAAGCAAGAATTGATATACAGAAAAGGCTTGTGCCAGGGACCTCTCTGTTTCCTGTGGTAATGTTCTGACACGTAATGTTCTGTCAGCTGTTTCCTACAAAAGAAGTAAAAATAAAAATGGGCCTAACTA